AACGTTACAACACCAACGAAATTGCTGCAAAGCAGGCTGGTGACATAATAGTTTCTCAAATTGTTGACAGTTTCTTGAAGCGAAATAAAATCAACGCACTATCAATCTTCGACTCCTCCAGATTCCAGGACTACCAAAAGTCGTTCCCTACAGTTCTTTGGGGATTGTTTATTGAAATATTACTGTTTTGCATAAAATCAAGTTACCAACAGAATTATAAGTATGCCATTGCAATGATATATTTAAGTCTGCTCAGGGTCGTACAATTCAGGGCCTTTATTCAACTATGAAGGACTAAAAACTCGACACAACATTTAGAGAAGTAGGCAAAATCCAAGCTCTGGTGTGGTTTGCTCCTTCTTTCCTATCAAACATCTATCGTCTTTATATCCCCTCCTTTTTTTATGTTTGTCACTCCCTTGTAACACCTCTAATCTTCTGGCGTTCATATGACCTTACGCAATTGCGAGCGCCCTAAAACCTCTACTAAAACAAACATTAAACAAAAAGTTAAATTCCTGAAATCGCACTGACATTTATGTCGATCCAAAAGGACATCATTGACTTCGTCAACAGAATAATGGACACTTTTGCTGCAGCAAAAGAACAATAGGAAGACTTCTTCTTCAAAATGATTTTCTCAAAACAGGAAGGATGAAGAAAACATCTCATTTACCATGCCCTTGATTATCTTCAACTTGCTCCTAATTGTGGACGCCCACTTTTTAGACCCACGAGCCGCCCCTGATTCTTATCAAGTAGTTGCCATATTATTTTAGTTTGAAATATGTTTTACGGTTTATAATTGGAAAGAGAACTAGTTTGGCCTTTTCTGACCTTCACCGGCCGTTTTCTTAAAAATGCTATTTTCACACACTTTATCCCATTTTTCTTCTGTATTTCTTTCAATTTTAACGTCACTTTCACAGAATGTTAACAACTTCTATTTCTATAAACTGTCTCCGAGGATTTTTGATTGGGAGACAGCTTTTGATAAAAGGGGTTAGAAAGGGATTTTCCCCTTTTTTTCAGTTTTGCAATAAGCCGATTTCTTAAGTGCCGTAAAATGAAAATTAAAAGCATATCATACCAACAATTCCTCAAAGACAATTTTTAGATCTGTCCTTTTCCTAAGTACATGCCAAATTAAAAGTGTTTAAAATCAAAACAAATAAGTCTTACTAAGTGAATTGTTGTCTCTCATAATGCTATTGTATTGGGGGGGGGGGGGTTTGTTTAAATAATTTATTCAGGACCAAGAAGCATCCAAATACGATAATATTGTAACAGGTCAATATTTTATCCACAGAGCGATAGTTAGCATAGCATATGAGATAATATCATAGAAATGTTGAGGAGGTTTCGGGTGGTTTTGGGAGGTTTCATTTGTTTTTGGAAGGTTCCGGTATAAACAATTAGCCTACCCGTGTTGTTGCTAGAAAAAGAAAGCGATACATGCAATTGCTTCGGATACAATATACTCGTCAGAATGAGTAAATATCTAGAAGTAGGAGGCAAATGCAATGTACACTGATATCTGCAATTATGTAGAATGTAGAATATTCGTTTTGATACAATGGATGTTGAACATTGAATATCAAAGGCAGTGCATACAAAGAAAAGTCTCAGGGAACACTATGAGCTATCAAAATAATATGATTACATTTTACAGTCTATTTGACATTTTAATGTCATTTCTGGAGTGGAAGCAATAGCAACTGTCCATGAGAGTTTGGTTCATAGTGTGGTTTATGTTCAACCCTTGTTTTGACACGATCAGGCAGTACCTTCATAATTGACGCCCATCTCCGGTATGACCAAGCCAAGTTAGTTGAAAGTGTTTGAAACTCCCAAAACAACACAAGTTTAAATAATAATACTCAATTACGACTTAACTCATACCATAGTCAAATAATACATCAACCGAACTAGTGACATACACCCCAAACATTAGATTCAAAACCCACTCGATCGGGTTCAAACCCGGAACATCTGTGATCGAGTTTAAGTTCTTTAGTAACCACAACGCGACAGCTGTTATACTGCCGTATCATAATACATAAACCTGAATTGTTGTGCGGCTACCTCTGTCCTCTTTTGTTTTTATGTAAGTCTATTGACAATAAAAAACGATGTGCTCTATGTAATGACTGCCTTTCTTATACCAGGTTCGTACAGCATAAAGTCTCACCAAAACCTTGTTTGACCCGGTTTGATATATTAAAGGGAGGCAAATGAAGTCTTCTCTCTTTGAATGGAAAAATTAAGCTACCATGTTGGCACAATTTTATAACATCCTACATAATAATCAAGTTATTAGAATTTTTAGGTGTATTTGATTAACTTTACACTTAAGTTCTAAACTCCTTGGTCACAAGACAATGCAGGATCTCAGATCTTTCGTTTGAGTGGGAAATCGTGCGATTGGCCGTAATGAACTTCTAGGTCAAATCTGATGAAGATCAACAGTCGAGTGAGTCATTTTGATAAGAAGTGCACTTACCAACGCTGTTTCGGATGTTTCCCGACCCTATTCGATCCGATCCGATTATGTAGATTGGGTCCATTTGACCAATGGGCATCCAATCTAATTAAATGTCCACATTTAATGGCTTGTAAACATTATGAATAGTATCTCCTCAAATCAATACTTATTTTCCAACCAGAAGAATTGCGAAGCACTTTGTCAGGGCTATAAATATCATTGCCTTTGTTCTTGTTACAATAGAAGTAAAACATTGGAAGAATTATGACTCTCTCTCTCTCTCT